ATCATGTCTTCTCTACAAAAAAAGTATCATGTCTTTATTCTCTAAATTTGACTAATTATTATCATGTTTTGGCAGTACGTGACTTTAAACATAATAGTGTTTTCCAAGTTTGACAGTAATTACTCTTATTTAAATAATAAAAAGTTAAAAACATGACAGCCCTATTTTAAAAAGGAAAAATTGAAAATAATAATCCTAACTATTGCCGATCCGCCATTAATAATCTCAATTATCAATTACTCCTGGATGGTCCCAACTATAGGGACCAATTTCCAAAAATGGTCCCAAACATGTTACAACTTGGTATAGCGGGTCATTTTTAAACGTGAACTATGTGTAAACTTAAAATAATCTTAACTATAGTTGACTTTTTTTTATTAATCTCAACTATCAATTCTCAATTTTTTGAAGATGTAATTTTTTTTAAATAAATTTCCAAACTAAATATTTTTAAGCATGAAAAATTAATTACAAATATTCTACAAATGTACCGAAATTAAATAAAAAAATTAGTAATTATTTATTATATAATTTATATTCACTAATATTTCATTTTGTCCCTTTCCTTTTTTTGGTCATAGCTATGCTACCAAATTTATGATTTAGTACTATATTCTTTTATTCAAATTTACATATTCTATTTTCAAAAAGTAAATTGTGATTAAATTTTTTACAATTTAGATCTTTATTCTAGCTTAATCTAAAAATCTAATTTTTATTTATTTATTCCATTTTAGTATTTGTAATTTCTACCAATGTAAAATTGTGAATAGCTTGAAATAACGATAAAAAAATGTTTACCAAAAGTCCACACTTGGGAATAGCTTGAAATAATAATTAAAATTTTATTTACTTTTTGAAAACAGTGTAATTTTGAATTAAAGAAAATAATACAAAATCATAAATTGGTAACACAAATGGGAAAACAAACTGGAAAAAGGGAAAAACAATTAGTGTATGTAAATAAAAATGACTAAAAATATTTTATTTTACTTCGGTACATTTTTATAATTTTTGTAATTGTTTATACATGTTTAAAATATTTAGTTTGGAAATTTATAAATATATTTTTACATCTTCATAAAGCCGAGAGTTGATAGTTGGGATTAATAAAAAAAAGGTCAATTATAGTTGAGATTATTTAAAGCTTAGACATAGTTTACATTTAAAAATGACCTGCTATATCAGGATAACAGGTTGTAACAGGTTAGAGACCATTTTTGGAAAGTGGTCCCTATAGTTGAGATCATCCAGAAATAATCGATAGTTGAGATTATTAATGGCGGATCGGTAATAGTTAGGATAATTATTTTCAATTTTTCCTTTTAAAAATTTCAAACATTTTTACTCCTATTTCAGGAACTTTTCCCTTTTTGAATCTCTTAAAATACCTAAAGTCACAATTATTATAGAACTAGAGTAAAGTTACAAATAAACTCTCTCTCCCGCATTCATCTATTGTTTAATTAAGATTATAGTGATTAACATAATCTTGTAATTGATCAAGAATATTTGTCCTCCTAAGTATGAAAGAAGGTTTCTTTCATCAGTATCTTTAGGTACTTAATGTGATTTCTTTCTAGCGATGTCTAGGGTTTGTGTATTCCTCTTCAGTGGAACCAATCGGGTGTTCAAATTTTATTATTGGTGGTTGGCAATGCTAATCGTGCTTGATATTTTGGGAGATTAACTTCAATCATCGCCAGTACAAAAAAAACTTCAATCATCGCCGATTGCGGGACAATTATTCGCTCTCCTACTGAACCACCCCCATGCTATGAGAGAAATAGAGCGCTAGATTGAATCTTCTTTTTGGTAGTTGGTCAAACAGATAATATTAATAATTTCTGTCCTGTTGCTGGTCAAACTGTGGATTATACCTATTTCTTTCTGTGGCCGAACAAATCAGGTTTTCTATTATTCCCTTTTCGGTGGATGATGAAATCGATTTACTTGTTTATTTTCTATCACAAAGTTGTTTTAGTATTATTTTCAAATTTGATTATTGGTTAAGTAGAAGGAACTTCTTTGTTGATAGATGAGCCTACATCTTTGCGGGGTTAACGAGTTGTTATGTTCATTTGAAACTTTTCAATTCTATATTTCATCCCATTGTAACTTTAGACTATATGAATTACTTTGGTACTGGTCATTTTTATATTATTAAGAAATATGTGTTTTCCATTAAAAAAAACAATAATCTTGTAATTTTATGCTCTGTATTACGGAGTATTTAATAGTGGTATTTATGATGCCTACTTTATACATGATTTGATAGACAATCATTGAATAATATATCCCTAAACATCAAGATATCAAATAGTTGGATACCAAAAGTATACTTAACTTAGATTTTAAGGGTACAAAAAAATGGTACTAAATTAAATGCCAATGTGATTAACGAATTTTAAGCTTTTCTAAATTTAAAGTGGTACTCCATGTCTCCATATATTAAAATTTCAACAAACACATGCAAGTTCGGATAAAAAAATCGAACTTCATACTTGTCTCACATTCGAGTTCAAAGCTCCTTAACCTCAACCTGTTATTTTCAAAATTGAAGTCGAGCTCGAAGAGGCAAAGAGGATGGGATTTGTTAACAACCCTAAGGGGCTGTTTACTTGTGACTTAATGAACTTAATTGATATGTCAACTTAATCGCTCAGTCATTCAGTTGTGTTTACTTGGGACTTAATATGAAATAGGACTTATTCGCTCAGACAAAATTTGACTTATTCGTTCAGTGTAAAAATATCACTCCTTCCGCTTTAGACAGGGAATGGACATCTTTCGCGCTTGTAACCCTGGAGATAACCGTGCTTATTCAGTTATTTGCCCTTTGAAATTTGAACAGCTTCTCCAATGACGAACGCACTATCGATTATCTCCCTCTCCAAGCAAATATATCAATCTTCTCCGTTTTGAGACCATTCTCTGGTATTTCTCTTGTTTATTTCATCGATTGTGTATTTTCTATTTTTTTTAATTTTTATACCAAAATAGAGTTGTTTTTCATCATTTTACTTCAAGATAAGTTATGCATCAATCTTCTTTATGCTCTGCTATCCGTCATAAGAACTCAGTGCTCCATAAATGCGTTATTTTACTTTTGCAGTATTTAATTTATATAAATCGGATCCCTAACAATAATTTACCATGTTTAAGTGAGTTTAACAAATGAATTGTTACGTTCTTTGAAGCTAATACATGTGTGTGTATAGTATTTTGAGGTGTTGATTGTATTGATAAATATTTTCAATAGCAGTGTAGAGGATCAATCTCTGGAGACAATTGTGATAAATATTGATAAACAACTTGTTATTCCAGATATGTTCAACACTTGTTCTAGACAAAAGGGTAAACTGGTCATTTAAAGTAATTCAGACTGCACATTCAGCACACATAGTAAACAGCTTGTTATTCCCGTGTCACTTAATCCAGACAGACGTCTTAATACAGACAGACATCTTAATCCAGACAGGACTTAATAGTAAAAAAAATAAACAGCCCCTAACTCAGCCTACTATGTTCAAACTCGGACGGTAATTTTCACACATGTTTAAAATTGAAGTCGAGCTCGAAGAGGTAAACGGACTGAATTTGTTAACAACCGTTACTCAACAACCCTAATTTTCTGATCTGATCGCTTTAACGATCTTTTTACTTGATTGTAATCTATCCCACACCAGATCCAATCGAACCAGACTTGGATAATTATAAAAATACAAAGAGACCAGACATTATCAAACTAGACCAGACCAAACCAGCAAATTACAGTCCAAGTAAAAACATCTTAAGTATGATATAGTTTGAATTTGTCAGATAGATCTTTGTTCTATATCCATTTTACAATTATCAAAGTATGATATCATCTAGTCTGAACTGGTTTGTTAAAATCTGATTTGAAACCAACCCAACTAAAAACAAACATGCTAAATAGGGAGGACAGCTTGTAACTTCGTATCAGGCTAGCCTCACGGGAACCACCATCAAGCCGAGGCCATCTGGGACCCTTCCCGGTAGATTTTTTAATGAAAGTTTTTGAACATGTTTTTCATCAAGTCTAGTTTATGCATACCAAATTCAGCTAAAAACTCATTCGGGAAGACAACTAAATAAATTCTTTACAAAAACCGTACTTTATATCTATATAAATAGCACAATGTTTTTCAATAATTTATTTGATTGTCTTCTCAATTGAATTTTAAGCTGAAATTTGGTGGACATAGACTAGACTGATGAAAATGCTCAAATAAAAAGCCACAAATGCCCTCGGCCGGACGGCGACATGACAGGATCCCTACACCTAAATAGGAAAGACTTTATAACTAGCTCTATATTCATAGTAGGTCAGTAGGTGGGTTATAACAACTATCTTCCATGTAAACTGATAACAACTACTCTTGTACAGTCACACTGAACCAGTAACACATGAACCACTCAAAACTTGGGTAAACAAAAATCTCAAAGCCTAGCATTGATACTAGCATAATACATGTGCTAACATACTAAAGAAACAATTGTGAAGTGATGGTAAGGGTATTGGCCTATTGGGAAGTTTATTTATTGGATACAAGAAGTAGAATAGAAAAGAAATGTATTATGACTGATCTTCAAATAACATATGGAAAAAGGCTAGGGTAAACTGCAAACTGGCACCGAGCTTCAAATAACACAAGTAATAGCATTAATCAAGTAAATGAAAATGCACAACATATTTTGTTCTCTTACCAACGATGACACAAGTCCAACTTAAGCCACAATTGGGGGCCAGGCCTTGCTTATTCAAGTTATAAGAATTTTGTAGAAATTGATCTTACCAAACACTTCTTTCAAAACTTTCAACAAATTCAACGATTTCATCCTGCTAATTATATGAAAGAAGCCCATAATAAACTTCTTAATACTATTAATGTGTAAAACTACAACTCCATGAACGAGATTATAATCCCTACGCAAGTAGGGACAAACAAATAATGAGGCATCAGCACATAGAAGAATAACCTCTTTGTAGGCAATGCAAATACCAGAGAAGATGTTTACTTTGCATCAAACATATTCAAGTACTCTCTCTGCAGAGAATGATGCTGCACATAATAATTTCATAATAAGAGCCTTAAAGCATAAATGGAAATGAACTCCACATTCCAAATGTAAATATAAATACACCAAGGCATAGGCAGGCACGACAGACATGTAGAAATTCACTTAATACACAATTACAGTATATGGAAGTGGTCAATCTGCAGTGCTATAAGCACAACATACTTGTAGAACATCGTTTACCCACGGGCCTTGAGCTCAGCAAGGCGTCTTGAAAGGTCGTCCTCATCGACCTTCTCCGCCGTGTTTGTGGGCACGGCATGAGCAGCAGGCTGTGGAAGCCCAACGGAAACCTCAAGCCCATAGTCATCGGCCACCTGTTGCATAAGGGAGTTGACCTGGTCCTCAGGGGTGGACAGGGAGGTGCTCCCGGCCATGGAGCTCTCCATGAACTCGGCCTGGACCTCCATATTCACAAACTGCTTCTCGAAAGTGTCCATTGTCTCGGACATCTTCTGGAGATTCCCAGTGTTGAGGGTACTATTGAGGGACTTGACGATGTTTCCCATGGACTTGCCGATGTTTGTCATCTTAGCCTGGGTGTCGAGGCGGGCCACGACGGCGTCGAGCCTGGAAGCGAGGCGGAGATAATTCATCTGCTCGCTGCGCTTCCTGATAGAGTTCTCGGCGTAGATCCGAGCTCCGTCCATGTTTCCCTTCTCGATTGCTTTCTTGATCTTGACCTTTTCGGCTTTCTCCTCTTTCTCGCATTTACGAGCCTGGCGCTGGAGACTCTTCGCCGTGAACTTGAGCTCCATGATCTGATTCATCAATTTGTCTGCGTTCCCCATGATTTCTTCGTCGGGAATGATTTGCGATTCAGGTTAGGGTTTGACGGTTTTCTAGAGTTTGCGTGTGATCAAATGGCGAGAGTTTTCTTTTTCTCAGAAATGGAAACGGGTCCGTATTCGAATAAAATAAATAAATAAATAATGCTTCCCTAGTCAGCACAGCACTATGATCGTACACACGGACCGCGGTAAGACTACGTTATGCATTTTGTAGCTTGAATGATCGAATGAGTTGTTGACTGGTTGGAAAATTGGAGTAATGATAATGTGGAAGTACAGTTTTTGCATGTTGAGCAGATTTTCTGATGCACATGAGTATAAAGCTTGTTACCATTGAACTAACTGAGTCATCGTGATTTACATCCACTCATATGTCTTGTCGGGTCGGGATGTGTGGGGCTGTTGGAGTTGGGGATTCGATCTTTTGGAGGAACATTGGATTTTGTTTGTTTTAACACCAATGTGACTGCCCAATTTTGGGAAAAAATTATTTGTACATGCTTCTTTAGTACACATCAATACACATGTTGGTGAATGAGTTATTTTTTTTTAATTTATGAGTAACTTATTCACAGACAAAAGGATAATTAGCATAAATATGACACAATTTTTTATTGTACACACTTTTTTGTATATATCAATGCATATGTCGGTGAAGGATTGTTTTTATATGTGAATAACATGTTCACAAAAAAAAATCACCGCCATGAGCACGAATGTGTAGAGCAAGAATTTTTTATGAATCTTTACCCATCAATCCTTTTTTTTACTTCATGTAGACATCTCTACACGCCTCATTTTACGTCACAAAGAACTTTTGTGACTTGTTAAGGCATGTACATAAAAATCATTGTATTTTTAGACATGACAATTAATTGGATAGGGGCGAGGTGCAATGCAAAATCTAGACCCGTCAATCCGCCACGTGACTTACTATATAGTTTTTGCAAAATCTAGACCCGTCAATCCGCCACGTGACTTGCTATATAGTTTTGTCCATCCCATAACTCGGACGTGATTTAGAGCCCGTTTGGTAGCACAAAAATCGGCTGATTTGGCAGATTCTGCTGAAATTTATGAAGTTCTGGCCGAAGTAGCTGCATTGACTGATTATACTGATTTAAAGAAAAATATTTTTAAAATATATTTTATTAATAAAATAAAGAAAAAATTATATGTAAAAATAGCTAAAATGGTCATCTACAGTAACTTCAGCCAATACAGTCAAAAAAGTAACTTCAACCTTACTTTTTCTGCATATTACATAATTCAGCGCGCGGAAGCAAAAGTTACGTGTTTGGTGAAAAAGCTGGTTGATAAGTCTGAAAAGCCGAAAAATAATGTTGCCAAACGGCCTTTTAATAAGTCAAGAAGTAAATTATTATGCCAATTCAGTTTAGAATTGGTAAAGAAGTACGGAGTAAGTTGTAAGTTTATTTGCGGGCTTGCGGCTATTTGTGCCTTTGTGGCGTACAACATACACAAATAAGTTTTGAAAGTTCAGTTACAAGTCTAACACCTCTTTTAAGTTCAAAAAGAAATATCAATTCACTATTCATACTGTGAAGGTAACTCTATTTGTATCATATTCAAAGTCAATGGAACTCTTAGCACAGTTTCTAATATGAATTTTTTGATTACAAATACCAACTTAAACTTTATATAGTGAGAATAAATGAATTTATTGTCACACTCAGATGCATAAAAAAAGATCAAATGTTTACTTAGATGCAATGGTATGTTCTTAGTTGATGCTACTTGCTAGTAGCAGTGGCTATAGTTTATCATCTCACATTTCCAATAGCCAGAATAGGTGAAGGACCTGGTGGTTGTCTTCTGTCGTGGTGGCAGTACAGGTTTTAAACACTTCTATTTTTCATGTTTTTGTGTTCAAGCAAACACGCTTTCACTTCTCATTTAGATTTTTCTCTTTATGAGAATAAACTATCATGGTAGTAATATCCTTAAAAAATAGAGAAACATGGTTAAAATAATAAGAAAATGACACTATATTACATCCAAACTGCAATTGGAAGTCTGTCACCCAGTACTCATCACTCAACATGTGAAACCAAAGCAACCAGGTGAGGGGGTGATTCGGAAAATCACAATGTTTATGCAGGCATACAGTATGAGGCTATGAGCAATGAATACTTAGTTACCCAGCAATGCCAAATACATAAAAAATGGCACTTTACATTCCTAACAAAACAACGAAGTTTGAAGTTCACATTTAAGTATTTAACCAGCAAGGAATAAATCCTTGTCCAAAATTCGTTAGCAGCCAAATGTTAAGAGTAACAGAAAATTCTTTACATTTAACCAGCCAAGATTGGATCACCATTTCTCTCTTCTTTTCCTTATTTTACTTGGATACATCTAGTCTGGAAGTAATAGAGACAAAACCGGAAACTTCCTATCTACTACTGAGAGCATCATTCTTTACATCTGCAATAAAGTTACACAGTTTATGCATAGTGCCCATATCCCAACCATTTTCCGAGAATTTGTACTTTCAGGGCAGACACCAATCTTCAGTTGAACAAATAAAAAAGAAGAGTCAACCATTGCTGGTTCCATGAGATGAAATACTAGTCAATGCTTCATTGATCCTACTGAACACTACTTTCAGCGGGACCCAAGCTATCATGGGCCCCACAAGCTTCGCTTTTGTCTTGTCTTGGCTCTGCTTGCGAGAACCGGTTAATGAAGACAATTTCCTCATCTTCTTCGAAGACAGTAGATCACTATTCTTTGACTTAAACTTCTTACTACAAGACTTCCGTTTGGATAAATTCACACCTTCTAAATCATCACAGCAATCAGAAGCACTCATTAGCAGTAGTTGAGCACAGGAGCCATCATCTAATACCTCAACTGTGAGTGGGTGACCGGTGATTGGACGGCCGCCATTTATTTTGCTTGTTAGAGACACATAAGGAACCTGTTGAGATCGGCCATAGCTGGATTTCACTTCCAGGTTGACATCATACAGTGGAGACAGCTTGGCCTTGTGGTTTAGAAAAGAGAAATCTGATGAGTCATACTTAGGGTTCACGGTAAAGCGGGACTGGCGATAAGGCCGTAATTTGTGAGGATTCGACACCTCAGCTTTTGGTTCATTTACCTGTGAGATGTTCCAACCCCAACCTTGAAACTCGTCCATCTGAAATTCTTCAACTGTTTTTGACTTGCAATTGGTGTAAAATGCTGTAATAACAAGCAAATTGGTAAAGAAGTTAATAAATTTAGAAAAATAAAATTACACTTGGTCCCTCCATTTTTTGGCATAATGTGTCATGCCAGTCTTTCAAATTTAGAAATTCAGTCTACCAATTGTTAAACTTATACTACATCAGTCCCAAAAAAATAGTCATGTCCTACCATACTTGTCACGGCGGCTAGGCGAGGCGCGGCGCCAACCGACCGCCATATCGCCTAGGCGTCCGCCTAGGCGACAAGTCGTGCCATATGTAATATTTAAATTTACATATAATAAAATAATATATTTCAGATTATTTTAAACAAACATATATGAAACAATAGATTATGTTTCTAGAAAAAAATGTCCAGTATAAATTTTCACAAAGAAAATAACTAAAATGTGTACTAATGGTAGATAATATGCAATAGTATAGCAGACATTAGGTAGCAAAGATTGAATTTGGTGCATGGATTCCAGCTGGACATGAAATAAATGAAAGAGTAGAAGTTTACTGTACATAAACAGTGCACATAAAAAAATATTCCATAGAAAAATGCATAATACATTAAAAATATATCGAGTCCAGCTGTATGCCAAACCAAACAAAACTCAAAAAAATAAAGATCAGCTAGAGACTTTTGAAAACAAGGACGCCGAACGAGAGAAGTAAACAGAGACAGAGGTGGAGCAAGTGCTCTATACAGTGACATGAGGCGGCAGCGTACTGTGGCGACTTCCATCAGTGAATCGACCTACGGGATGAACTGTTGATGGCCCTAGGGTTATGGCCGACGGCTAAATCTTAAAACTCAACATCTTCTCTAATCTAATATGTTGGGCCGAAGCGGCAAAACAGGCGTTGGGCGTCACCATGGCGCCTAGTCGACGCCGAGTTACGCCTAGTCGACGCCAGGCGAGTCGAGTAACCATGGCGCCCCTTCCCCATCACCAGGACGACTAGTCGGTGCCTAGGCGACGCCGTAACAACTATGTGTCCTACCAAAGTACAATCTTTATGTTAAGTTACAACTCATCATCATCATCATCACCCCAGTGCCACAAAGGCTCCCACCTACGGTGGGGTAGGGGGGGTCGGATGTACGCACTCTTACCTCAAGCACAGAGAGACTGTTTTCGGATGACCCATTATGAAAATCGCGTCCAAAATGCATGGACTGACTGCAACTTCATAACAAAGAAGCGCAGACAGTTTAGTGAGCTATTTTGCTTTATTCTATCATATTTTCAAGCCAAAAACTTGCAAGTCTATGGCTCCATTGCAAATGATGGAAATATTTGTTAAGGTACAACTGCTTTAAAATATTATTCCCACTGATATCTTTTAATTAAATTTATTCAAACTTAAATATCTGTTTGACTCTTTTTTGGTAAACTATACAAAAAATCTCCGCTTGATCGTGGGAGCACTCTTGGCTATATAGAATGCCAACAATCCCTCCCCCCATAAACCCTAATATTTACCCTACCATCTCAAAGAAAGAGACTTGTTTAAGACTCTGAGTAATGTGCCACCATACACCTTTTTAAGTTTTTATTTAAGTCAACCCAATCAAGGTTAAGTTTTTCAGGTTATGAAAGATCACTTATGCTCCTAGAACTTATTTCCAAGATTAGTTGGAGTAATTGCTAAGTAGTTAACTCGCTACTCGGTAGCTACTCGGTCAAGGGCCGAGTAGCGAGTAGGACCGGTTACTCGGGATGACTCGGTGATTACTCGGTCATGTATTAATTAAATATAATAATATAGGTGCCTGAGATTATAGAAATATAATAGTCTTAAAATAGTCTTTAAATTGTCTTAATATGCATAGAAGTGAATAAAAAGATAGAAATCCTATTATCCTAATGATGGAGTAGCAAAAGTCGTAAAGAAAAAGTCATAAAGAAGTCAATCATCTAATAAGTTGGTCTGATATTAATCTTCGTTGGGTTCAAGGTCGTGATT